ATAAGCAAACTCCCTACTCTTCCCAAATTTGTGGTAGAAACTCGCTTGTAAATTAGTAGAATACAGAGGCATATTTGTTGTTTTACCACCAAACACGTGATAGCTTAACGCACAATGACCTTGGTAAGCAAACGGGCCCCCCTGAATAGCCTAGTTTTTGCCAATAAATTCCAAAAACCTAAATCGCAGCCAACTTGATTCTTTGAACACATAATTTTCAAAATCCCATCTAAATTTTCTTTCCTCCAAATGAAGCAAATTGTTTTCTTCTCTGGCTCATCCCACCAAGAACTGGCATATTCGATTTCTAAAAGACTCGGGCTTCCTTTAGGAAAGGTTACCTTGTCCACATTTTCAAATGGAGAAACCTCTGTTGAGATTGGGGATTCTGTTCGCGAGAAAAATGTATTTATTTTGCAGACCTTTGATCCGCCACACGCCCATTCCAGGCTTATGGAGCTGTTGATTATGATAACTTCCTGTAAGACTGCATCTGCACACAGAGTTACCGCAGTGTTGCCGCTATTTCCCTACGGAAAGGCGGGTCCCGGCTTTGCTAGCGACGAATTGCTTCAACAGTCAGAAATAGGATGGCACTATATTCCTTGGCGTCCAAGATCGGGAAAGCTTATAGCCAATCTATTAATGGTTGCAGGTGCTGACCATGTAATTACTCTTGACGTGCATGACCCTCAATGTCAGGGGTTTTTCAATATCCCATTTGACCACTTGCGATTCCAGCCGTTACTGATTAAATGGGTCCACGAAAATATGAGCACCATGAAAAGGCCGATGATTGTGTCCCCAGATGTTGGTGGCGCAAAAAGGTTTATTTTATACCCTCACAAAATAGGGCCACATCGATGGCACAATCAATGGGCATCGACTTTGCCCTGATCCACGATGTTAATCCCATTCCATCTATGGGGCATAGGTCCATCAAGCCAATCACTAAACAGCCAAGATTGGTTGGAGAGGTTTCTGGACGCACCGTTCTCCTTGTTGACGACATTGCTATCACCTGTAATACCTTAATAAGAGCAGCCGAGATGTGCCTGCAACATGGTGCTGAACGAGTCATAGCTCTGGTTACACACGCGCTATTTGCCACAAACGTGGAAAATCCTGCTGACGATCATTTGATAGGAGAGCTTGATGCAAAACACAAGGAAGTGCTCACTGGAATCTCTTTACTTGCCTCCAACATGAGTCTAAGTACGATTGTGGTTTCTAATTCGCTTCCAAACATTGCCCAAAATACGATTAAAAAATTGGGGTCCAAAAGGATTGTCATTTTAGACACTGCACCGCTGCTTGCAGAGGCAATAAGAAGGATCCATTTTGGAGAGTCTGTCTCGTATTTATTTGATCGCGTTGCAATTTAACTGATTTGTAAAAATAAAAAATTTAGTTCAATCACCACCGGTCATTTAGCATCCAACTAGCGATGGAGCCCCACATCAATGGCAATCTTGGCCATGCTGGCAACAGCAATGAGCGGCATCAGCTCGCTCAAGAGCTGACCCAGGTAAAATTTAGCCTTAAATTTTAATTGTAGAGTTTAGAATTGCTAACATCAAACCTGATCCTTCTCACCAATAACTTGGATTCGGTTCTTCGATTGGGCAGCGAATTTAGCGCATTGGAGACCACGTGGAGGGCATTTGCTTCTGGGCCTTCATGGAAGGTGCGTAATGGGAGGCATATAGATCAACAGCAGGCTTCCGATGAAAAAATACAAAAATCTAATTGACATCGTTTATTCCCTGCTCGTTTAACAAGAGCAGCTTGTAGCGCATTTCATCTATAAATTCATCTGCGGGCATTGGAGAGCTGATTTCGCAGTGCGATAATAATGAATCTTCAAAAAAGACCAATAGATCAGCGAATAATGGCGAGAGGGCATTTTTGCACTCCATCGACCATCCACTTGGAACAGAGAGGGGGTAAATGAGGTCCATAAAAAGAGCAAGAGTCGAGGCTGGATCTTTTGAAATAAGTTCGGTACTAAAAAACATAGACAAGCAGGTAAAGATCTGGCTCAGATCTGCTTCACATAAATAGGGAAATCTCGCCGAAATTTTAATGGCTTCTTGGTACGATTTCAGAAATGCAATGATGGGATGGTTTGGAGCGACGCGCTTGCAATATGTTAATGCATCAAAAGATACGGTTGAGAGAAGGAGCTTTGGATTTCTGGAAATTCTAAATAAAAGGTTGTTTGACAGAGCGTAGAAAGCGTCATCCTCGATGTGATTATCATGTGCTAGATTTGAGAGCATTATCCACACAAGAAGGATTGAACTCCCATTCTTCCAAAGGTCTTGGGCCTACAAAATGAAAATGCAGATAAACCTCTAGCACTAGCGAAAGCAACGGATATGCTTTTTTGTTGGTAGTTCTATCTACATGAAACACTAAAGGCAGTAGTATTGGGATAAACGAGGCGTCTGAAAACGTTAATAGTTTCTCAAGAAACTCTCGAAGTACTTGGATAGCAGATCCAACCAATTTGGGATCCGACATTTCGGGCACAAGCGTAAAGGCCCACGGCCATGCTAGTGGACTTGCAGACGAAGTAAGAGACCGGATACATTGAAATAATAGGCCATCGATAATTGAAATCCCGTTTCTAAATAATGTAACAAAATCAGGCACATACACTTTCTCCAGGCCTAACAGATGTCCAGAAGCCAGAAGCATCTTAGCTATTAAGGTAGCGAAAAGAATGTCGAGCTTTGAAGCTTTTTGTATCAACAAGCCGTAGTCTTGACATGCAAATGCCTCATAAAGATCCTCAAAAGCACCATTATCTTTATCTATCGCAAAAGTCTTGTCTTCCACTATTTTTTTAATCAAAAGGTACATGTTTTGGGGCAAAATATCGGAAAGATCTTCAAGGGCATCTGAAGATACTAAATTTTCATCCCTTTCAACAAGAAGGGGTATGATTTTAGGGGCAATAGGTAACAAGTCCTCGACCGGGAAAGGCATTATTAAAATTTGAATTTTGTTGCCACATTTTACAGGCCAACTTGAATTTGAATTGGATTGCTTCTCTGCAATGCGGCAGTGTCCAGAAAGATTTATATTTTATACGTGCCGGATCAAGTTGACTGTCACTGCAAAGTAATTAATTTAATCGCAATCGATTGGCGAATTTTTCTTACACGGTTTTCTTACGAGATAAACACCCAGCTAACTATCATATCTCCAATAGCGGGGAAACACCATTCTGATAACCCGATTTTTACTTGGCTAGTTTCCATCCATAATATAACGAGGGGTCATCTCTTGTTGGTTGACAGAGTTGAAAAGTAGAAGAAAATTACCTACTGATGACCATCTTATCGGGTATACGTGCAAAAGACAGGACAAAGATGGTCCGTGTACGCAATTTATACACACATTGCAAGAGATCCAAAACTTATTTTATGCAGGAAACGCTTCCTAATCAATTGCCTTCCACTTGCCCTAGCTAGCAGGATCACCGAAGCGGGCAACCTCAATGCAATAAAATGTAACAGAGAGTGGCAAGCTGTGCAAACCTAACCCTAGCCATCTTTTTTGCCCCAATCAGCAGGGTCGATGTATGCCATCTGACTATTTTGGCATCATACAATTAAGGTTTAAGAACTTGCTCATAAGCGATATTTTCAATCACATTTGCCTATTTACAAACATATTTTCTATTTTTTCGTGATCCAACTGGTTTCCATTTTACTTGCTCTGAATGAGGAAATCGTTGGAATTATCGCAAAATTTTTTGGCCGTCTTGTCACAGTTGCTTTTGGACTTAGTATGCCTCCCAGTTGTCCTCCTGAAAGTAGGCAAGGTTTCTATACTATTAATCTTGAATATATAAACCAACAAGTCTTCTAAGAATTTTTAAACGATGGCTGAGCTTTACCCAATATAAACAATAGCATAAGCGGCTTGGGTTTAGATCTTTTTAATCCTTATAAGTATGAGGGCACCGGTATCCTTGAGAGAACAAAGACAGTATATATTGAGCAGAATATTAGAAATTTCTTATTTCGAAAAAGTTGACCGAAAAATATCATATGACATTTGATGCTGATTGGGATCGGAAAAGGGTTTTGTTTGATTTTATCCCTGGACTAACCTTCGACATGTTTTATCTGCGCATTCACTTGGTGTAATATTCTTATCAACCATTCAAACATTGACTTCTACTAAACGCAGTATTAAAGCCCATTTTTAGCTTCGAGATTAGCTTTTTACACTGGAAGAGTATTATTCATGTTCCTTCTCCAAGCTGGGGTGCTTTATTTGTGGGCAGTTTATTTCTTTGAAGGGAAACTGGAATTTGTGGCACAATAATTCCTGCTTGTATTGGCTCCAATTTAAAAGCTTAGGATACCCATTAGTACTGTGGACATCGCAAACGGGGCTCAGTAAACATCTTCATCAGCATACTCGCGTATGAAGGTCTGAACTTTCGCAGAAATTTTTTTATTGGACTTGCAAAGTTCGCCACAGTGCATTTTCGCAGCTGAAGTTCCGATCATTGTAATGTTTTTCTTTTTAAAAAAGAGTTCTGCTACTGGACTGAGGCCGAGTGGAACACTATTACATATAAATGGTGTATATAATTCGAATCGAGCTTGAAAGAATGGAATACATTTTATTAATACAGTTGACCCTCAAATATTGAGCTCTTTCGCAGCTATCGTCTGTTCGCATAACCTCGAAGCAGTTTGTTTCGCCATTGGATCTTCCCACGACAAGATAATAGATTTCACTTACATACATATCAATAATCGGGTTGGACACATCCGCCGCAATGAAATGGACGATCTTTGCACTTGTCCTCGTGCTCAACGATTGATGGATGAAACCCCCATCATTTGCAATTTCGATGGTTGAGGCCGTGGATATATCTAAATCGTACCTCGCTACGTGGGGTATGAGCCTAGTGAAAATTGGCGGACCAAATGAACCCTTGACGAGGAACCGCATGCGATGTTACCAGTCAGGCGATATGATCGGCCATCAACTGCATCCGACGACATCAAATGATTTCAATACCAAATTTATTGAACCTTAAATTTTCAATCGGCTTTCCCAAGATTCTGACGCCTCAAACAGATGTTTCTTCATTCTTAAAGCTAGAGTTCACGGGAAGAGAAATATTTTCGGAAGTTCGAGACTTTTGACCCAAGTTAGGAACAAAGGCTAGTATAATTAGCGTTAAAAAAAGGCAAAACACTCCGGAAATGAAAAATGTATACTCTTTGAAAACAGAAAGAATCTTAGTTGCGGTAGCGGTAATTAAGAAGGCAAATATCCAACTGAATATCAATTCAAATAAATAATAAGAATCCTTAATCTTTGGTGTTTTTTTTTTCGAATGATCCTCCAAGGTATGGGTCCAAATCCAAATGAAAAGCAAAATATAAAGCAAAATGCAGCAACATATTTCATAGGCGCAATATTTTCAAAAAACCCAAAGAAAAGGAGGAATGAAGCACCTGTAGATCCAGCTGCACTAATTACAGCGATATATTTTTTATAAAGTGGATAGTCTAAATGCATCAGAGAATTATTGGATCCCCCCTGAGTGTTCTTTAAATATTCAATTGCAACTCTCAAAAGGACTCCAACAAAATTTGCAACTCCCAAAACAAGATAAATATTTGGCAGGTCGCCAAATATCTCCTTTGTGTATGAAAAATATCCGTTAATGAAAGATAACTGTTGAAAGATATGGAGGCACATGATTAATATAGCTAACTTCCTTGCTTCCCCAGAATCCGTATTAGGGTTAAAGTTGACAGAGCTCTGTTCATCGGACATTTTGATGAGATTGTCGGAAGCGTTAGGTTTGACAAAAGTCTCTTCATTGGACATTTGGGTCACACTATCAGAAGCTTTAGAGTTATAAAGATCATTAAAACAAAGAAACCCTAAAAAACAATAGGCATTGCTAAAAAGGCTGCAGGTGCATAATAAACGAATCTCCAGCGAGCATAGTTTTTATTCAGAAAATACTCTTGCAGAAATCCACACAAAAGTATTCCTCCTGGAACCATTAGTCGATAAATAATGTCAAACGCTTTGGCGTTGGGTTTATCATGTAAAGCCATAATGAAATTGTTATAAGGAATAGGATTGACTTTTCCACCAACCCCAATGCCCATTCCAAGAATAAACCGTCCTAAAGCTAAAATATCCCAATTTTTCGAAAATCCGGAAATAATTCCTCCCAGAAAAAAGAATATCGAACTGATAAAATAATATTTTTGAGCGCTGTATTTAGAAGTAAATATGGTAATAAACTGTGCAAACGTTCCACCTAAATACAAAGAATAAATAGCAAAAGAACGGTCTGCCTCAGAGCTAAATTTGAAGTCAAGAGGCACGTTATTTTTATGCGAATCCATATCATGATCCTTCTGGACGGAATAAAGCTTTTCTGAGGGAAGAATAGGAAAGGTATGAATAGCCATCAAAAAAAGCAAAGTAGATGATGCAAAATTCTCTAACAACTTACGATAGTCATCAGTATCAAAAGTGAAAGATACTTGAGTTGATAAAATCAAAATAGCAAGAACAAAGAGAGCTTTTAAGCAGCTAGGATTCATTAAAAAATTTGGTGAGTCATCTCGCTGGTGTGCATTTATTTTAGTGTGAACTAACACATAATTTACAATTAAAATCCATCCATAAATTTACCGCTGTATCTCTGTAAAATCGTAATCAAAGGCTTTTTTGACCTGCATTGCATTGCTAGAAATACTCTGATTCTAAACATAACCTAATACTCCCCTTAAATCAATCGTCATTTCAGGATTCAGTGTGTTTTTTCTTTGCGTGGGGCATCTTTCTTCTATCCCCACTGCTATCGTGTATCCAAATCATCTTCAATAAGCCCCTCATGTTACTTTTGTTCATTTCTCGCGCCATAACACTGACTCTGATCGCTGCTGCCGTTCCAATTGTATTTGCCTATGGCTCGTCGGTAGTGTATAAAATCACGTAGATCATGAACAAAAGCACAGCTCAGGTAATTTAGCAACAATTGAGTTGCACGAGGGCAATCATGGCTTCATAAAGAGGCTTGAAGCAAATACCATTGAATCTGAACCCTAACCCTAAATTTAAGGTAATTCAGCCTCTACTCGCCACAATAGTCTTGTTTAGAAGGTTGGGGCTGCCGCCTCCTGGCTTTTGTTTCAAATAGCATGTGATTTATAGCTCATGAAAATCAATTTGTTGCTTTCATTAATGGCGCAACACTTATATGCCCAAAATACCTTCCCATCGCCTCAATCTCGGCAGCAACATTTAAGAGAATTAAGTATTCAACTGGATCAAAAGAGACATTTATTAATTCCTTGAACGGTTTATAGTATTAGTGGGAGCATATTTATACTGAATACCTTTCCAGAAAAGGAACGTGAGCCTTTTATGAGGAAGGGAGCAAATGGGGGCGTGAAGGTGTTCCGGGCAATTTTACGCATTCAATTGGTCAAATATTACTTTTATTTGGGGTCTAATCGTGGGCTTCTCATCCTCTTATTGAGCCCTTAACGCATTCCATCAGATCTCGGGAATTAATTTGTTAATAAACACCTTAAGATAAAGTGATACCCGTCGTTATTTCTTAGGGGTTTTGTTTATCCTTGTTAGTATCTTTGAAAGATAAACAGATATCCAATTATTCGCGGTTGATGCCATCAATTGTAACATTCCGGTTTGCGGACGTTATAGTAAAGGGGTATGGTGAAATATATGAAAAGTTACCCCTAAATCTCGCATGTGAATCCGGTTTGATTCCCCCAACTCTAATCATGAAATCACGTAATAATAATGGATGTAATTAATTTCTCATACTTTGGCCCGTTTTAATAAATGGAATTTGCACCAACATCTGGATCTTGTGAACCGTACCTTTGAGTCTGAACGTGGGCTATGCTAAATCCCAACTTTGAGGACTGCTCCATAGTCACTTCCAGCTTCCAAATGATGTTAAATAAGATATATCCCATGAAGAAGATAGTCATGTGTATATATTACGCTTCTATTATTTTAAGGATTCTGTTTTTACTGGAAAATCCGTTTGATTTAGTGGTATGATAAGGATTCGAGTAAGGTTAGGCTTAGTGGATGCACCTAGGGTTAGGGTTAACACCTCAACGAGTTCAGGTTAACACATT